GTATAAAAATATAGGAAAATTACACACACACACACACACACACACAAAAAAAAAAAAAGGGGAGAGGCCGATAAAAATTAACTGAAGAAAATGTAAAATTTAAAATATCTGATTGATATATTTTTTATATCAGAATCATTATGAACAATTCAGTAACCTGAATCATTCATTGTAAAGTGAATTAAAGTCAGTTTGGAGTCCCTTGAAATGGCACCGCTGCTTAGTGTGAAAATATCCCAAAGATTCCTGTTTTTTTTTTTTTTTTTTTTTTTTTTTTTTTTTTTTTTATGTTTCAAGGTTGGCAGCTGTACAGTAATGCAATGTTTTTATTTTGTCAAGTCATGCAAACATGTAGTCTGCTATTTCTGTTTATCACCATTTATTTGCACTGTTATGGATATATGCAAAATATATGCTTGTAATTTCTGTACAGAGTGTATCTGTTGCAGTTCCTGTATTGTTTTATTGTGCTCATTATTTTAAAATTATTTCTGAATGAAGATGATTTAAGAAAAACTGCCATGAGCTGTTTATTCAAGAAGAAATCATCATCAGCTCCATTTTTATTTTTCTGCTTTATTACCTAAATCCATTATTATCTATATATATATCCCAGGCTTTATTTATGATTCTTGGTTTTGTATTTTTAAATTAAAAAAGTTAATTTTGTATAAAATATGAAATCTAACTTTTTATACATTCCTATGCTTGTATTTAGAAAAATTTTGAGTACTTACTGTATTAATGCGTCACCTTAGTAGAAGTTGCCAAATTTTCAGAATGTGTCAAACTCTGGCAACCATGTGCATAACTGTTTTTCTGGCGACCATGGGGGGGGGTCATTAACAGTCCCTCAGTTGACCAGTGCCACCATTTTTGTATGCATTCTTTTTTGTTGTATATTCCAAGTTCTGTTTTTTAAACAAATTGTGATATTTTTTTGCCTTAATTTTAAAATATGACCTTATAAAATTTGCCAGCAATTGATGTAGTAATAAATTTTTAGTTTGGAGGCAGATCCCAAAGAAAAGGAAATTGTCTGCTGACAATATTGGCATTTTGTGTTTTTTTTAAATCTAATTTGATAAAATGATACTGAATTGTCACTCGTGGTTCTTCTATGTGGTAGGGTTCATGTTTTGTTCTACAACCTTGAAAAAACACATTAGATGGAAAAATTTGTTTATAAATATATAATAATTCTAAAGAAAATTAAAGAGAAATTCAAAGACATTAGTAAAATAAGTAAATAAAAATATATTTTATTATTTTACATAAATGTTACAATTATATTGTATAAAAAAGGTAATACCTAATATACATAGCTATACTATGACACAATATTAAAAGAATCCAAATGAAACTCAAAGGAAGAGCTCTGAGAAAATGAAAACAGCAAGTAATCGAGATTCCGCAGGAGCCAAATTTGCTGCTAGAGCAGGAGAGCCAGAGCACAGATCCTCGCACTACCAGATTGGGGGGGGGCAAAAAAAACCTCATCTGTTGGCAAGTAGGGGTGGTCAGCTTCGATGAGATGCATCAGTTTATTTAATATTTTGTTTTTTTATATACTAGATGAAACACAAGCAAACCAAAAGCACACATATATACATATATAACACACACTACCATTCACACCTTAAAAAAAGGTTAGAGATGTTTCTGGTAAATAATAAAAGGAAGGATGTCAGTGTTTACATAAGAGGAATCAAATTTTTGGCACGCTTCCCAACATGAGCTCTTCATAAACAGTTAAAGAACTACCGCTCTGTTTTCGCTGGAGTGGAGATCACTTGCTCAGTAAAGTTAATTGGTTCTTTGAAGCAGTTCCAGAGTGGATCATCCATCTCTAGTTTGAACGAAGCTGTGTCTTGGCAATTCTCTGATTTTTTTTTTTTTTTTTTTTTTTTTTAAAGCGAAAACAGCTTGCTGTGTACTCCAAGAGAAGAATAGGTGAGAAAAATTACAGAAAAATTTGAATAAGAATGCAAGTATTTTTTTTAATGTATCACATAATTCTTATTTAATAATTAAAATTTGTATTTTAAATTCCTAAAGTATGTTTCTTTTCATATGTTGATAATATTTACTGATTTACTGTAAATATTGATAGTCTGGAAATCTTTCTTAAAAAAATAAATAAAAATGCACAAAACAACCAACTTGCCCTCGATGAGTAACTCCTACCTTTTCATCTGTAAAAAAGTCATCAAATTGTGCCAAGGTGGTTATGTTAATACAGAAATACCAAATTTTGTACTCACTATAAAAAATAAAACACAATTAGTTTGATCTCTTGGTATAATAATAATAATAACTTGTATACTTGTCCCGCTTCTAGCATTACACGGATTGGCCCCAGTTGAGAACCCCCGTATTAAGAAAGGGGTGGGTCTGCCAATCAAAAGTCCCTCGAGACTTGAAAAGAAACTATGCTACCATGCCAGGCCCTCATTCCAGAGTGGCAGACTTTAAGAATTTGTCTTTCAACGGCCACGGCTACCAGTTCTCAGGTTTCACCGTGACCGGGCACTATAAGCTTGGAGATCAGACTGGTCGTCAAAATTGATGCCTGCCAGTACTACACAAGCTACAGTTCACAGCAGGATATTACCTAGGAAACGCGCTGCCATCCCACACCGAACTACAGAACCAACTGTTCTGTGACTTATGCCGACACACCTAAGGCAGGCCAGTGAAGTTTCGTCTCAAGGTATCTCTCCCTGAGCAGGTGGAACCGCCAAGTTCAATGATTATGTGGCCCCGTGGCTGAGACTGCCTAAGTACAGATTCTAGCCAGTACTTCGCAGAGTTCTCTGCATTGATTTCCCCCAGGGGGTGATCTCTGGTTCATGACAGAGCACCTTAATTGGCACGTCTGGCGGACAACACACACGGACAATTGCAAGACCCCGAAGAATAGCCTGGGGTGATCTCTGGTATAATAGAATTAGACTGGAATAGTCACTTGAAAGTCAGACATCATATTTAGAGGCTGTACCTGTGAAGGATTGGCAGGCTCCATGCCACCATGCCATTCGTTAAACCCACAACTCGAGAGGAAACTAACACGCCTCTCCAGTAATGAATTCAGCGAAGTTCATGAACGAAATCTGCCAATCAAAAGTCCCTCGGTCATGTCTGCTTAGGAGTTGGAACAGTAACTAAACCCTCAACTCCTCCATAGCCATGCCGTGAAAGGCTTTTAGCTGAGGAGGCCACAATTGAACAAAAAATTCAGTTGTTTGTACAACATTCCATCACAGAGAATCCCTGAGTCGAAACCGTACTCCACGCTTATGTGCTGACCAGATTAATTCCCACACTTCCATGCCTGAGCAAGAATCAAAATGCGACGCAGCGTGGCTCTTCAAAGAGCTACCATGATTGCCCTGGCATATACGAACACCCTTATTTAGAAGGCCACACACATGTAGATGTAGAAAAAGTTATGTGTGTCTAGACCTTTATCCGGGCTAAAAATAGCATTCAGTATTGAAAGTTAACCTGTGTCCCTCACGTATAAGAGTAACTTTTTTTGAGACCAAATTTATGAAAAAAAAGTGCATTTTATATGCCGTCAAATACGGTACATGTTTGTACATAACTGAATATGAAATATCAGATTATGGAAAGGTTTTTGATGTTAAGAGATTAAATAATGAGCATAACTATACAGATTATTGTGGAAAGTATTATCAGTGTAAATTTTTTAAAAATGGAAATTTTTTTCACAGAATTCATATTTTAGAAAACACTGGCAGCCACCATTGGTATCCAGCCAACTCGCAATATTATTTGCATTCGTTAAAAAATGAAAAATAATTGTAGTTTAATAAATTTTTGTACAGTTATTGGATTATGATTCTAAAGTAAGTTATATACTAACTATAATATTACTAACATATTTTTAAATTTTGAACACTTAAATTACTTATGTGAAAATAATTTTGGCATAGCAAATCTAAGTCAACATTCAAGTATTTTAATTGATTTATTAACCAACCTGCAAAGGCAACACAAATGTAATATTATACAAAAGTAAATTTTATAACAATTCATTTTTAAATATTTTCCAAGTTGGAGAATATATTATGAATTTTATGAAGGCAAATTCGTAATGTTAAGCATATCGGTAAGTTTTTGTATGTTATTTTTATCATTAAAATATACGGAACCCTTTGTTTTTTCCCCTATAAATCTACCTACGAAACCACATATATATTTTAGTTAATATGATATAGTACATTATCCTGTATTTTAATTGCGTTTTTACTCTGTCTTATAATTCACATTATCTGTCTGTCTTTGTTACAATTAACTTATGTTGGCATGAAACCAATCTGAGCATGTGTGGAAATAAACAGTTAACAATATTTTTTTCATTAATAAAATACTTCATTTCATTAATAAAATTTATTAAAGAAGCTGTAATTCGTTTTTGAGGTATTAGCAACAATTACTGAATTCTGACCAACACAAAGACTAAAAAATGAATTATCTTGTGTATCTGTACAGGTTCTTCTTTTTATAAATTGTAATAAGTAAAATATTTTACTGAATTATTATTTTTAATAAATTGCTGACAGAATTGTATTAAATAAAATAGCAAATGCAAATTTATGTTAAATTTCTTTACTATAGATATATGTACATATAACTTGTGTTGGATAGATATTGTATGAAGCATCCATTTATCATTGTCTGTTTAATTTTTGTGAAAGTTTTACAAAATTTGGCAACAAATCTCACTTTTTAAGCTTGAATTATGCCATTTTTTTCTGTCATCAAGGCTGAAGACAAGTGTCTATATTTCTTTATATATGTTTTTATAAGGAAATATGTTTTCTTTCTTTTACAACATATGTCATGCAATCTAAGTGTAACAGAGATGGATAGAGATCTGTGAAGTTTTGTTCTTAAGTGAACAGTTCAAACGTGCCTTAATTGTATAATTTGTAATAATGAGTGTGCTATACATGAGATATTTTTTTTTCCAGTGCTGCGCCACAGAAAATGTGTATCACAGAAGAACGCATGGCAGCTCGTTTGAGAGAATTGCATATTAGCAATCAATATTGCTTACCATCTGAGAATTCACAGTTTGGACATAGTGATTCAACAGATGTCCATCCAGTTGAGAAATCTGTTACTAATCTTCAAGAATTAGATGCCATGTATTGTATTTAAATTTCGTATTTCTGTGTAATTTATAGAATTTACTATAGATATGTAAAAGTGTATCATGTTTAATACAGTACAAAGTCCAAAATCTGGACCTCCAGTATCCAGAATTATCTAAATCCGGACCATCGGTCCAAATAAATAAATCAAATTATTAGAAGTGGGGAGTATAATACATAGTAAAAGGAAGCAGATGCATCATAAATGTATTTTTTTTCCTAACTAACTGTTATTCTTACATGTCACTTTTAAACACTTTGTGGTTAGGGATTTGCATCATGGTCAATAACAGTACATGGATTGGCATTATATTGATGTTGGCCATGGTCAAAATTTTTGGCATTTAAGTAATTGTGGGTTGGGGTAAGACTGGTGCTATGCAATGTCACCCAGTACAATCTCTGTGATTTGCAAGTTCTGCTGTCTTGTACCTCCTGAAATTTTAAAACTTTGTTGCTCAGTGCTCCTCTAAATTGTGCTCTTGATGACAGATTTGTTGTGTTAAATTTTTAAAACTAATTCAATTCTAAAATTTTTACTACTCCTAAATTCTGATACCCAGTGTGCTCACATTGGCTTTGGTCCTGTGTGGCGTGGATTAGTACGAAGTCAATAAGTGAAGTTGCAGCTTTGTCATGTCATCTTAAAGATTAAAACTAAAGTTGAATCTTGGACTTTATACTATAAGAAACAGTATTTTGGTGTATTGGCTTGATTAAAGTGAATGCATGTCAAATTTTACTGATTTGTTTTCTCATCTTTTTTTGAATATATAGAGGGTATACAGAGTAATAAAAGTTCTTGTGAAAAAATATATGGCATTTCATACCTGCAATACAGCTCTGCCACATTGAAGGGAGAATCAGTCTTTCAACAGTTGTTATAGACGTAACATGCATACCTAAAATGAACACTGATCTTCAGGATTCAATTTCAAGCAAAACTGTTGAACAGAAACTCCATATTGTGAACATATATGGCAAAGTGGCAATTTGTAAATAAATGGCGATGTCACGTAATGCTTTCAGATGACATTAGTGGTTCAGAGTTCATTAAGGACTCTACAGCAGTGGCATCAAGTCATCTGCTAACCTGCATTCACCCTATATTATACTAGCTTCTCTTTATCTTACATCATGCTACCCTATATCGTATTACTAGGTGTATGGTCTGATGAACTGAGAAGTGTTTATAACACCTGCCTCTTGCCAGCTGCGAAGTATAGAAAAAGCTGCATGCTGGTGTGAGGGAAAATGTTTTGGCATGATCTTGACCCAGTCCTTATTCTGTATGGGAAGAGTACGGCCAATCATTCCTGAACAATTATGTTCAAACTTGTTATCTACACTTTATTCCATGAAGAACAACTGCTTTTTTAAGACAAAACTATATACGTGTTCAAGCCTAGTTTGGCCCACCATCGGCCAAGCGGTAAAGACGCTGAACACTGATAATTCGCTCTGAGGTTCGAATCCCATGAACGGGCTGGCTGCATGGGCGT